CGTTTTTTTGCAACTGTGAATGCACGAAATTTAGTTTCTTTTACCTGTTTTTTTGTAAGTTTTATAAAAATGCCATTTTTATTCTCCAATCAAGAGTTAGCGGCTACTCATTTTGTGTATGGCTTTGTAAATGGAAACGCAGTAGAAGCAGCCAGAGAATACGCACGAAGATTTCCAAACAGACGACATCCAACTCGCTCAGTATTTGTAAAAGTGCATCGCCAAATAATTGAAAATGGTTTTGGAAATCTCCAAAGGGATCAAAACATAATTGTTCGTCAGCGCAGATTTACCCGTATGATTCTGCGTGAGTTTGATAGAGATCCGACCACAAGTCCTAGGAGAGTTTCTGGTGCCTTGGGAATTTCAGCAAGCCATGTTCACCGTGCTCGTAGAAATGACCATAGACGTCCTTACCATTTGCAACCTGTGCAAGGACTACAGCCAGGGGACGAAGAACGAAAAGTCACATTTTGTCAGTGGATTCTTGATAGAACTGATAATAATAGGGAGTTTTTAAGTAACGTTTTATGGACTGATGAATCATGCTCCACTAGACGTGGAGTGGTAAATTTTCATAATCAACATATTTGGTCGCATGAAAATCCGCATGCAGTTCGCGAAAGAAATTTTCAGCATGAATTTAGTGTGAACGTGTGGACTGGTATCTACCGTAATCGACTATTTGGACCCTACCATTTGCCTGCAAGGTTAAATGCTGCGACCTTCTTGGAATTTTTAAAGGCTGAACATGCAAATATGTGGGATGATGTTATGTTAGATTTAAGAAGATTGGCCTGGTTCCAGCTTGATGGTTGTCCAGCTCATTATTCGAGAATAGTTAGAAACTGGCTTGACGAAAATTATCCAGAAAGATGGATCGGCCGTGGAGGACCAGTCGCCTGGCCCCCACGATCCCCTGACCTAAATCCATTAGATTTCTTTGTGTGGGGATTTCTAAAAGAAAAAGTGTACCAGACTCCCGTAACCACAAGAGATATGCTAATAGACAGAATCAGGAATGCATGTGATGAAATAAGGCCTTATTTGAATAATGCTATACCACGTTCGATCATTCGTAGATGTGAATTGTGTATTGAACAATTGGGTTTACATTTCGAGAAACTACTTTAGATTTTGTATGTTTGTCCTAACTATCCAATAGCATTTTAGTTGTAAATAATTAATTTAATTTGTTAAAAATAATATTGGAAAATTAAACAAATTAATATTCTGTTTTTTGTGTTTATTTGGAGTTAGGAGTTATTGCTGTGTTTAAAAACATAATCTAAACGATCATCTTAATTACTTGTAATGCCCAAATCGAAAATGTAAAAAAATATTATTCGAAATATCTCAAAAACGGCTAACTATAGCGAAAACCCACATGAGAGCTTTTTTATGCAGAAAAGTGCGAAGTATCAGTTTTTTTATTCAAACAGCAAAAAATTGTACTAAGAAAAATTTTTCGGTTATTTTAATACACTACAGGTACAGTAGAGAGCGCCCTCTAGCTGCTACAGTAAACTATGCCCATGGTTCGTTTTGTCGTACCAAAAAACCCTTGTATACCAATTTTCACTGTTATGCATCAAATATTGTTCGAAATATTTGAAAAAACTATTTTAGACAGTAAATTTTAGTATTTCAGAAGCACGCATTTTTCGGCCCCTGTTTATATAGACTTTATGCATTAATTTTAAAAGTTCTATCGAATCTTAAAGTTATGCAACAATAACCTGAAACACCCTGTATAGCAACCGCTTTCCCTTAGACGTTATGTTCTAAATGTGCTCCGACCAGGTAAGCCGCTCCATTAACTATCAGACCAAGATTTGTGTGAAGAAAAACAGTCTCTAAGGTATGTTTGCCAATCTTATATGTTAAGTTAGAATTGTTCTTTCCCAGGAGCCAAAGTCCTGACCACTTTCTGATCAGCTTGAGGTCTTCTTGAAGCACAGATGAGTTCATGGCAGTGTTATAGACTTTAGTATCATTTGCATAGAAGACATAGAAGAAAGTCGGGTGGGAAGGTCGCTTGTATAAAGAAGAAAAAGTATTGGCCCTAGCACAGATCCTTGTGGAACTCCACTAGTAACACGATGTCGAGAATATCTCCAACACGGACGGAGAAAGATCTATCTAACAAAAAAGCTTCAATCCATAGCAACAAATTTCCCCTGATTCCGAGATGTTTAAGCGTGTACAGGAGCGGAACTCAATCGAAAGCTCTGGAAAAATCCAGATAAACCACGCCGACCGGTTCATTTGCGTCTAAAAATCTGGTCCAATTGTCGATGCAGTGTAACATGTTGGCGATAATTTATCTACCAGGAATAAAACCATGTTGGTTGCTAGGCAACAGGCTGTTCTTGAACGCAAATGTCATAAGTTGTTCTTGGACGGTCTTTTCGGCTATTTTCGCAGCTATAGGCACAAGACTGATAGGACGGTAGTTTTTCGCAGATGTTTTATCTCGTTTTTTGTATATAGGTGTCACAGATGCAGTAAGCCAACAGGAAGCAAGGATGTGATTTTGAAACGAGGCGTCCTTAGGTTGAAAATCTATGTTACAGATGGTCGCTAGGCATCTTTGAGGGCTGGATAAGTTCGGAAGGGTACCATCACCATCAGGTTCATTCGCAAAATCTTCACTGAAAGCAACGGCAAGAAGATTGGCAGATTTTTCGGCATCAGTATGTAGGTGACCATTGAGATCACGGATTTGTGGGGAAGAAACCTTCGAGTTCAGGGTGGATATCAAGTATCTAAACAGCTTTTTCTTATCTTTCGATGATACAAGATTTTGCTCATAATCCTGTTGTCGTCTACTTCTATGGAATCTTTGCCATAACGCTTTTTTATGCCTCAACATCCTTGAGAGGTTATGGTTAATCCAAGGCTTACTTGGGTGACTGAATATCTGCTTTGTGGTCGTATGCTTAGTGCTACGTTGTGCAAGCAGGTTGGACCAGTTTATTTCAGACAATGCTCGATTGAGAGCACTGTAGTTTAATAGCTTCACAGTTTAGTGTCACGTGATGGAGTTTGTACATAGAATTGAAGTGAGGTCAACATAGTACAGTGATCCGACTTGCCAAAAGGAGGTAGGTAGCCTAGACTGGAAAGTCAGGATCATTGACAAACGGTCGAGAGTTCTGGGAGTTTGGCCTTCTCTGAATCTCGTCGGATGATTTACGAGTTGGAGGATGTTCGACGCATTAAATCAATATAAGGGGCAGAAGGGGAGTTGCATTCTGGTAATGTTGTCATGGGTTAGCTGATGTCACGTAAGTTGAAATCACCAGTTAACAGAATGTTTGAATTCTTGGTTAGAAGTTCTTCAACGAATTTACAGAAATAAACATCACCAGCACAGCGACGCGGTCTGTAGATACACTCTAATACAAAACTGAAGTTTGGCCGTGTTAGTTCTAAAAAGAGGCTGTCGATACCATCGAAACTCTTGGAAGTAGCAGTTATTGAGAAATTGTCAGCAATTTCGGTACGTACATAAACATAGACCCTACAATACCCCGGAGAGCGAGTGGAATCTACCCTATACAAACGGTAACCAGGCAAATTCGCAACATAGTCAGGTGTATTTGGGCTGAGTCAGGTTTCTGTCAAGCAAAGAAACGAAGGTTTGGTTCCATCAACAAATGCTTGCACTTCGAGAAGTTTCGATACCAGTGATTGAATGTTTGTGTAGCACACCGACCACTCGGTTAGCAGTTTTTTGATACAGAAGATTGCTGTGCAACAATATTGACAATGGATGGTCTACCCTTGACACATTTAATCGTGATATTGCGTTCTTCAGCGGTTAGCCTTCGTTTCAGCTCCTCACGTAGTTGCTGTAGCTCATGCATTTGTGACGGTGTTTTGTCGTCCGAAATTTTAACGGAGTTATAGGTAGAGTGGCTTAAAATATCATTCTTCTTGCGTAGAATGTTCTTAGCTATTATAGGCGATGCAAAGCCAACCTTTATTAACCGAGGACGAGATGTACCTACAGCACCAAGTCTGATCATATTGAGGCGGTGTCCATTAGCAGACGGTTCGATGTGGTTGATTATGTCTGTTACGGAATCAGAATCATTGATGCCTTTAGGAAGACCTTTCAGTTTCAGTCGGAGATGATGGGTTATTGTTAGCGTTGGTATTCAACGATTTGTCATTTATCAGTGCATTGGTCAGTCTACATTCAACGTTCGAAATGTTGGATAAGATAGATGCTTGCGCACTTTGGAGTTGCTGAATACTAGCCTCACAATTAGAGATCAGTTCGTCATGGCGAACAATAGAAGCCGAATGCTGTTGTAACAATGACATACAATGGAAAACATCGTTGTTTAGTTGTGTTTGTGATGTCTCTAATGTCACTGGCCATGGTCGACAATTGACACAAAATGAGTGCTAGAGGATCGGAGACAGTCGCTTCGTCAGACCGATGAGGTGAGACCGCTGGTCGAGCAATAGTTGATGAGGACGACGAGTTGCTACGAGTAACTCTACCATGTCTACAGCATGCTGAACAAACCCATTTGCTGTCGGCGAAATAGCCGATCTCTTTAGTGGTCAAGTTAACACAATTAGCGTGGTGATTGTTCAGGCACTTGGAGCATAAGATATGCACTTGAGAAGTGCCAATTAATTTGGAACATGTAGCGCAAACTTGGTTCATTGTTAATTATCAACAAGCTATAGGAAAGGAGAGGGTACAGGAAGACGATAATAGAGACTCACGCACAAAGAGGTAGACCGCGGATAGGATAAGGAATAGAAATAATGAAGGGAATCGTCTCAGAGCCTCCGTGAGTAGACCACAGAGCAACGAAAGGAATCTTACATTCAGCCCACAATAGCTATCAGTCAGCTACTTTACTACTTCTTTATCAGGTGATACACAAAAAAAGGGGCATTCTAGTTCAAGGTCAACAAAAATGTTGCTACAGAAATGGCCGCTCGGCAGAAGAAAACTGAATTGTTTTGTAGTATATGAGCAAAACATATGAAGCCAATGAAACTACTCACGAACTGTTCCTGACATCTGGGAGACTCACAACAAAGATTCAAAATAATTACAATCCGATTATACACTATGAAACCGTAATCAAATCGAAAGGGAAGCAAAACACTACTGTACACTACTCAAATCACGGTGTTGATAAGTTTAAAAATTAAAATAGAGGAATAGAAACGTATGCAGCATAACTGTAAGTAAAATAATCAGTAAAATAGATAAATATGTAGTTATGCCAAATTATAAAACTGCAGCGAGTAAAAACACTTAGGGTACAACTATGTCGAAAGTTGTCGTTGATGGCTTTTAACTCAGACGCATGAATACCTTTGAAAACCTAGTTAGCTATTTATTTTTGAACCAGTCTGCAATTATTATTAAGTCTCTTTGAACCTTTACCTTTAGAACACCACATGAATTGTTATCCGAATAAATGATAGCAGTATCGTCTGCAAAACATACGACTGTTTCTTCTGAATTTAAGCTCAGCAGGCTATTAATGTAAAGTTTAAGTAATAAGAGGGCTAACACCGTCTCTTGTGGAACACCAATTTGCTTGTGCTTAAGTAAATTTCCATGAGGCCTTGCTTCCGATTCCTGAGTCATGTAACATTTTTAATAGAACAAGTGGTCTACTGTGTCGAATACCTTTGCTGGATCTAAGAACATACACAGGGCATATTCACTTTGGCCCAGTAATTTGTATAATTTTGATGTCACAAAACAAACTGCATCTTGGGTAGACTTGTTTGTCTAGGATCCAAATGGTTTTTAATCAAATTATGTTTATCAAAAAATTCAGAAGTCGTGTTTTTATAATTTTCTTAATAATATTTGAAAAGCTGGATATTAGAGTTATAGGCTTGTAATTATTAGTATCTGTTTTTTTTACCGGATTTGTATATGGGGTTTACTACTCCTACTTTATAATCATCAGGAAATGCTTCCGATTCAATTATCAAGTTCGTCAAGGGATGATTTTGGATGAAATCTTCTTTTACATTTCTGATCGTATACCATCAAGATCTGGGTTTTTTATTCTTCAAATTGTGTATAGCATTTTCTATTCCATTTAATATGCAGTTTCTAAGAAATTTGATTGTTGTATACGTTTTCTGTACGGAATATTTGTGTTAGATTTATTTATTTTCATTGCCATACTTTGCCTACTTCCATAAAGTAATTATTGAATGCATCTGCAATATCTTTACTTGTGTTAAGTGGGGTATTATGGACGTTTATTTCTTCAATTTTTGTTCCAGGTTTGGATGGATTACAGATTCGGTTAATGGCATTCCATAGCATTTTAGAGTCAAGTTTGTTGTTTTGTAGTTTTTCTGTGTATTTTTGTTTCAAAATGTTGATCAATTGACAGAGTTTAGGTTTATAGTAAAAATAATGTTGAATTGTTTCGTCTCTTGGATTTGTCTTGTATGATTTGTAATCTCGTTTTTTTTTTCATTGATTGACTTAATTAGTCCAGCAGTTGCCCAATGTTTTTTTAGACTGCCTTTACGATTTATTTTATTTTTTTTTGTTATTGTTTGAGATACTTTCAGTGATTATTGTAGTCAGCTATTTAGTTGCTACGTGAACATTTCAAATGTTATATAACTTGCTCCAGGTTTCATATTTTAAGACTATTATTAATTTTTCATAGCCTATATATTCATTATACCTTGCTTTATTATGTTTGCCTTACTTTTTGGATCCTCTAGCGACTTTGCTTATACTGTTATAGTTCTGTCATCAGCAAACGTTAACAAGAGATAATTATTATTAATTATGTTTTCATCTAAATCGGTCACAAATATTAAAAACAGATATGGTGATAGCACTCCGCCCTGAGGTACTCAAAAGCTTATGTCAAGTGGATTAGAGATAATGCTACCCAGCTTAACGTGAATTTTTCTGTTTGATATAGATGACAGAATCCATTAATCTACGGGATTTCTGAGACCATATTTTTACTATCTTATTTGCGAGAATGCTAGCTTGAACACAGTCGAACGCTTTTCATAAATCAAAAAAACATTGCCATTGACTGATAATTTTCATCAAGACTTTTATAGATGAACGAAAGCAATGAAAATGTTCAACAGATACCGTGCTCAATATTTTCTTCCTAGGGAGATTTATAGGTATTTATAAGCATTGGAAGTAAACAGTGCCGATATTCCGACTGACTGGGTTTGCCTATAATTCCATGCTGTACATAGCTTCAGGGTTGTTGACGTTGTCCGCGTCATTGCGTCGGTCGTTTCCAGCGAATCTGATTTTCAGGATTAAAAGGTAACTACGTTCTAATATTTGCCGATATACTGTGCCTTATTAATACATTTAAACGCTTTTTGTTGAAGTCCGCAGAGATATGATTGTGGTTCGACGATATTCGATTTTCAAAGGTCAGTCCTCTCAACCCAAGTAACCTCATACACGTTTTGAGTATAGCTGTTTTCAGTAATATCTGAAATTTATCCTTTGGTTTTCATGCCGATAATCACCCACGTGTGTTTGAAATTCCTCTTTAATGTAGTAAACGTTTCGGTCATAACGGTGACCTTCTTCAGTACATCTCATTTGACCACTATGCAAATTGTAGAGGCAACAAAGAGTTTGGGGATCCTATTAGATACAAATTTGAGTTTTGAGTGTCTTGTTTTGAATAAACTCAAATTGTGCTATTATAAGCATAAACCGTTGTGGAGATACACTGACAAGTGATATAAAATTAATAGTTGTAAACTCATTGATCCTTACACATTTGGATTATGGTGTCACATTCTATTATAACTTCCTTACAAGAGAAACAAATCAAAAACTCAATTTTACAGAATCGCTGTGCAAGATTTTGTTAAAATGATATAGGTAGACAAAAACACATCTTGGCTACTAGGTGAGAGAAGATATTTTAAAATACCTATAAGTACCGCTAATTGCTTTTTTATGGTGCTCTACTAAATTGAGTTTTAAGATATGAGTCTCCAAATTATCTGTATGATGTTTTAGAGAAGAGATCCTTTGTTCGCTATGTTTTTATAATTTATTGAATAGTTATTTAGAACTTTTCCAAATTTCTTCCAGTCATAACTTTAAAAAGGAATTTAAGAAGCTGCTTCTCCTGTTGCAAGCTTCTGAAGCTGCAGATTATTAACTTGCGATTTAATATTGTATTTTACGTGCATTGGTACCTCAATTTGATACATTACTTTACTCTATGTGAAATTAGAGATCAGATGAAGCTCATGACTTCATAAAATACACTGACAGGCAAAATTAACCGGACAAAAAATTACATTTTAAAAAACTTTTTAGCCTTTGCATCGATTTCGTTAATTTTTTCGTCAAGTCGTAGCTAATTTCATTGTAATCATTATCGATTGTAAAACTTGCAGACAAAATTGAAAATGTTTGTTGCTATACAGGGTGTAACTAAAAGGTGCATTTTGCCCTTGATTTCTGAACACCCTGTGGAAACATTGGATTACTGAATAATGTGTCTTCGTATGAGAATTTGAAGCCTAAACTTTTCTCAGCAGTTTTTTTTTTATTCATGTCAATATATCAATTATTGAAGAATCGTCAATCGTCAGCCTTTTGGAATGTTGTTTATTCATATTTATCTTTAATTTAAATAAGTGCTCTCTAATAAAGATTATTGTTATTTTTATTTATTTTTTTTTTGTCAGTGAAGGCGGCATGTTTCAATGATGACTGATTTTTGCACTTTTGAAATAATCTTTATTGCGTCTAATTATAATTTTGTGAGGCTGGATTTCAGTTTTTTATTTATCAAACCTGTAGCAGTTACATCGATTGGAAAACAGCTTTCAACCTATGGATATCTTTAAACTCGATGGTCAATGGTAATTTAATTTTTACAAGCGGAAACCGCGCTTTGGATTGAAAAAATCAAGCGCGGTCCGATTCGCTTAGGCATTATTGGGATTTCATTAATAATCTTTATTGCAAGAGAAGTCAGTGGCATATCAATGTCTGCCAAGATAGATGCTGAGATTCCGTAATATTATAATAAAATCGATTTGGAAACGTTTAAAGCATTGAATAAGGCTCTGTTCGCTAATAATAACCATTCGTTATTCTTTGAACGTGCTGAGATACATCTCAAAATACAGCTTACAAGCTGTTGACTTTGATAAAATGCAAAAATGTTCAGTCCTGGAATTTTTAACTGTTTCACTAGATTTGGGTTATTCCTAAATAACCAATTCCGCGTGAATGACTATATTGACCTTCACGATGCACAGTACATACAGTCAGCAGTACTATGGAATCGACTGCCGGCTGTGACATACGACCACCGACGACGACGCTTGTCCGTCGGCGGACGACGTCGCAGGTATCGATACTCGACTGTATTAGACACTGAACTTGGAAGCATATCCTGGCACCCAGGGTCCATTTAAATGGACATGCAGTTTTATACTCGCAGTTCCGTTGATTTAATATTTAAGCAGCGTAGATCTCGAATCGGCTGACTTAAGTCGCGCATCTGCGCCGAGAATCAGTTGTTTGTTTTCTGTTGTGATGGCGGCTACAAGTGATTCTCGTTTGGATGGTATGTAACCTATTTTTTAACATTTTTTGCTGATTTTTGTGGAAATATATATTTATTATTGTTTAACAGATAAATTTAAATAGCTTTTTAAAAATAAAACTTTTAAATAACCTTTGTATTAGCCTAAATTATTTGCGTCCATTTATATGGACATTAGGTCTATCTCATGAACATTTTTAATTTATTCCGAAAATTTATTTTAGCAATTTTTGGCAACAAAAGAGTGCTTAGGCCAGGGGAAGATGACGAAAAATTGGAGCAAATACTACAACTCATTGCAAACGATGATCCTGACGTTGAAATGTCTGATGATGAAAATGAACTTGAAAATATGAATAATTCAGTAGCGAGAGAAGACGAAATGATTGATGAAGAACTGCAGAGTAGCAGTGACGAGGAAGAAGAGGACAGAATTCCTCTTAGTGTCCTTAAAGAAAAGTTAAGAATGGCCAAAGAAACTTCCAATCATTCGCAGCGACAGTTTTGGAGAAGAAATGATACTTTTACACCTCCAAATTTTGAAGGTCCCTCTAGTGAATGCAGCGCACAGCTTCGCGATGGTTGGACTGTAAAATCATATTTAGCCATGTACTTAGAAGATCATATGTTCCAAAAAGTATGTGATAGCACAAATGGAAGCTATGTTGAACTTAAAGGAGTATCCCTTAGATTGACACTTAATGAGATTAAACATTTGCTTTTGATAGTTGGTTTAATGTCCAGCCTAAAATATCCTAGAATCAGAAAGTACTGGGGAAAACCCACGCGGGTTGCCGCTATTGCGGATGTTATGACTAGAGATAGGTTTTTTCTATAAGAAGTAACCTCAAAGTAATTGAGCATCTTCGAAGAATTTCGAATTTTAGAAGCAGTATTGCAGGGATGTTTGCAGCTACCCAGAGAGAAAGTAGTCGCTGTGGATGAGCAGATGATACCATTCACAGGAACTTGTCAAATGAAACAGTTCGTTAGGGGAAAACCCAATCCAGAGGGATTGAAAAATTTTGTTGTGGCTGCTCCTGATGGTCTTGTCGTAGACTTTGAACTATGTCAAGGCAAAAATACGTTTCCAGATAATTCTGTAACTATATACTTGGTGTTGGACCTTCTGCTGTTGCTCGTCTTCGAAGAACATTATTTCCTGGAACTCATGTGTATTGCGATAGATATTTTACGACAATACTACTTCTTGAATATTTTCGCCAACAAAAAAATATTGTACTGGAACGATTATGAAATCTAGTGTACCAGCGGCAGCACATTTAGCTTCAGACAAAATGATGGCCAAGATAGGTAGGGGTAGCCCAGAACAAATTGTAAGGCGAAATAGTGGTTGTACAATGGTATGACCTGAAATCTGTACTTTTGGCATCTACTGGTCTAGGAATTCAACCTAGTGATGAGAGTAAACGGTGGCCTAAGAAAGACTCTAAATACATACAAGTTCCAAGACCTTACATTGTTGCTAAATACAACGATTGTTTGGGAGGAATTGACCTGATAGACCGAATGATCAGCTATTACAGAATTCAAGCCAGATCAAAGAAATGGAAGATGACTCTCACAGCTATGGCAAACTCGTGGATTTATTATCGAAGAGATAAAAAGATATTTCAAACCTCTACAAGGAAAATACAGCAATATCTAGATTTCAAAATCGAAAGTGCCACGTACCCAAGAAATTATGCGAGGTATAGGAACTCGAAGAAATCCTGAGGGTAATATCATTGTTGATTCGCCATCAGCAGGCACCGAAAGAAAGCGGAAAGAACATCACCCAGAAATTGCCTCAGATTTAAGAAATTCGGTTCGATGTATAGATTACAGTTGTGCTAAAAGTTTTTTTGTAATAGATGTAACACATTCTTATGCATAACTGGCAACAGAAACTGCTTTATAGAGTTCCATAGCAGATGAATTTAAGTTTACGTTTATTTTCGATATTCTTATAAGTTTGAGTTTTGATTTTAGATGTATTTTTTAACCATTTAAGTAAATTATACATCAAGCATTTTTGTATAGGTGAAGACCCAATGTCCATTTTAATGGACGTCATGTATCTTTCAAAATAAGAGAAAAAATAAAAAATGTTATTAGTAAAAAATGTTTGTTTATGTATTTTCTGTTATATTTGAAAGCATCACAACTCCAACTTAAGAAAAACATGTCTGGATCTCAGGAGGATATAAATATACCAACGTCGAAAAATTGAAATACACCCAGCCATACAATTTTAACACCTATAAAAAATTTTCCGAAGATGATCAAGATCGTCTGAGACGCAAGAAAAAAGTTTGAGAGATTTGTTTTGTTTCTACCCTCACCTCTGCTGCCACTGGACCGATTTTCAAGAACTAAGCCTTTTCGTCCTTAGCATAGTCACATTTTCTATGATGAGTGAAATATGCGTAATAAGTCAGTAGAATTACTGGGGCTGGAGGCCTGCAAATATACCAACGTCAAAAAGTTGTGATACACTGTCTCCCGCCCCCAACTTTTAACCTCTACAAAATTTTTTTCGAAAATGATTAAGACACTCCAAAATGTCAAAAAACAAAATTTGAGCAATTTTTATTTTTTTCGTGCTTTTGACCCTAGCTCTGCCACCACTAGACCGATTTTCAAAAACTACAAAGTTCTTGCATCCTTTGGCATAGTAGTAACGTTGTGTGAACATTTCATCATGTCACATAACATCCAAAAACCATGATATCTCATTTTCTTTTTTTTTTTCGCGATTACAATATTCCTCTACCAGTAGTAGGCGTGGGAAGTAACAATTAAATTAATTATTAAAATTAATTAATTAGTAAAAATGCCTCGATCCATACTACCTATCGGTTCACTATGTCCATTTCCGAACCGGTGACCGCGTCCATGAGATTAATGATTATTTTAGCTGAATTTTTCAAATCTGTGTTCCCTTGTAATGAATTACATGAAAATATACTCGCACGAACGTCACTGTTTCCCTGTTTCAGAACATACGATATTGCTGTTAATTCCGTAGCTGGCAACAGTTTGACAAAACCTAATTAAGGCTTATACGATCCTGCAGGTGGATATGTAGCCAGGCAGGCGTTGAACATTACACGTGTACGCATCTATTATTAATTCTAGTGAGACGGGATGTTTGTTTATTTAACGAAATGTTGCTAGTTGCCATGGGAAGCAGCCTGAATATGTGAATTCGGAGTCGTGCTGGTACAGTTGCGAGGTAGATATTAGAGCAGAAATAACGTGAAACCGTAAACGTGGCATTCATGAAGGTACGGCTCGTCAAGTGTAGGAAGAGATGCGAATTTTTAAATAATGTCACGCCTTCTCGGCGGCTCAATTCGGCGGACGAAGCAGTAGTCTCTTGTCGTGTCTAGAGTAGTTAGCGTCAGAAGAAAAATTGACAGGCAGTGAAACAACTTTATCACTTACTATATGTGAATTGTATCTATCATTACGAATACGTGGGCTAAATATACTAAGTGACATATAAATCCGAACACCCAGTTTAAATGGTTTTATTTTAATAAAAGTTGGTGAATGTATTTATCTTACTGTAAATAACAAGTGAAAAATTTTCAGCCTTATCAGTTGAACATTCCGGTTTTTATACTGCTTTTTTTTAATTCACAAACGCTCTAAATATGAATATTTCAGCCGCAGTAAAGAATCAACGTTGGCGGATTTCGGTTCTTGTCATCCTTTACGATCGATTACGATGCCTAGAGTATGGAGACCTGTACGATTTCGTCAACTTAGTGAGTTTGATAGGGGCCGTATAGTGGGACTTCGGGAAGCTGGACTTTCTTTTCGGGCAATTGCAGTTAGAATGCTAAGAAGTGTAGACATTGTGGTTAGGTGTTGTCAGGCATGGCTTCGAGAAGGCCGTACGCAAAGAGCAAGGGGCACTGGACGCCGAAGTAGAACAACAGACCGTGAAGATCGCCGCCTAAGATTATTGGCCTTAAGGGACCGTTTCTCCACTACCAGGTCCATTGCAAATGAATGGTTTGCAGAACACGGAAGACCTATTGGCATGCGAAGTATTAACCGACGAATGCGAAGTTTTGGCTTCTTTTCATACCGGCCACACTGGGTCCTCCCTTTAACTCGAGAACACCGACGTAACCGCCTTGAGTGGTGCAGACAACGGTCACTCTGGGATCAGGAATGGAACAGTATTGTCTTTAGTGACGAGTCTCGATTTTGTTTAGGCATGCACGATGGTCGTGCCAGGGTTAGAAGGCGACGTGGTGAAAGGAGGAATCCACAGTTTTTTGTTGAAAGACATGTTCATCACACTGTTGGAGTTATGGTTTGGGGTGCTATAGCTTATGGTTCCAAGTCACCTGTAATCTTCTTTAGAGGTAACACGAACGCGCAGCGTTATATCCACGAAGTTCTAGAACCCCATCTTTTACCCTATCTTGACACCCTGGCAGATCCAACTTTCCAACAAGATAATGCCCGATCATATGTTGCAAGAGTCACAATAGACTTCTTTCAATATAATGATGTCACATTGTTACCATGGCCACCAAGATCTCCCAACTTATCCCCAATTGAGCATGTGTGGGATATAATGCGTAGGCGATTTCTCAATTTTCAACGTCCTCCTCAGACTCTAGAAGCACTTCGAGAGGAGTTGGTGGTTGCCTGGAATGAAATACCACAGGAGGACATTGGCCACCTGATCAGAAGCATGCCTAAGCGCGTTGGAGAATGCGTAGCACATCAGGGTGCATCCACACATTATTAAAGGTCAAAGGGCTTTAAAGCAGTGCAATCATTTTGAAATTTTTATCATTTACTTATTATGCTTCATTAAGTACTCATACAAAATTTTATTAAAATAAAACCATTTAAACTGGGTGTTCGGATTTATATGTCACTTAGTATACATACAATTTTACGCTATTAATTGTCGTCATTTATTCCTTGGTGTGCTAAGAGATTTACTCGTTTATAATGGATTTTTAAATCCAAATTACGACTTAAAGTTTTATCAGGAGAAACTAGGGAGGTTGTATCAAATGTTATATCCTTTATGCAACGAGAAGCAAAAGGAAACAAACCTCTTAAAGATTTGAAGAAACTTCAGGAGCGTGCAGCTATGGCTACGGGAGTTAGTCAGGAGGATTTCTCGCGAAATGAAATCTGTTTTAGAGAAAAGCGACAAAGTAAAATAAAATCTGACAACGCCGCATTGCCAGACGCAAATTATGACGGAACGCAGTATAAATAAAGATGCAGTTTGTTATTTTTGGCTCTTAGGTATTATTTTATTATTTGATAATTTAGTTGTAAAATGCAAACAATTAAAAAAACGGACTTACCACTAAGTGTCTCAGCGCTTCACCTGCTGTGTGAAAGTTTATTGAACGCATTAAAAAAATCTACTTATAAATAGGGAACACAATTTTGATACATACATTGGGTGATATGCATAAAGCTGAGTGGGTTCTCAGATGTAGCGACTCCATATTGTGGCGAGTAACTCTTCCTGTTAGGGAGAGCCTACTCGGTTTTGATATGCATAAAATATTTGTCGACAAACGGAGAGGCTACTCTAGTGCTAATGAAATACTTGAGTAGGCACTCTGGTTTTAGAGTTCCGACTTGTATTTTGTTGTCTCGCAGAATTGGCAATTTCTCTATTGCGAGCAGTTACTACTGTATACCGGTAAACGATTGTGTCGGTGGTGTTTAGGTCGATTATTGTTTGTTCATTTACATGATGTTAACCTATTCTGAAGACCATTAATCTGAAAATCAAACAGTATTTGTTAATATAATTAAACAGTATCCTGTTTTGTTGGAAAAATCTAACATCCCGAAAATCAAAAATAAACGACGTAAGGCGGTTGAAGAAATAAAAGAAAAGACAGAAGCCGAATTAGGAGTTAAATACCGCAAAGTTGGGGTTTTCCTTTTCAAAAACAACTACCCTTGAAATAACAAAGGTAATGTGTAGTGAAACGAGGGCGACCAAGTAAAAAAATAAAGGAAAAAGTACTCACTCTCCAGTTGACGAGAAGGGCTAAGTACGTATCTGCCCGAAATCATACCGCTCCAACAGAAAATGAAATCAGCTGATGCGCTACCGAGCAGACGCAGGCAAACAAGGAAGGCAAATTGTTGCATAAAAAGTCTAGGTATTGCATCCCGTCCAATCGATTTGGGAGAATAAATGGTCCAATGAGCATACCGTTCACCATGCCAGCCCAAACGTTCACCGAAAATGTTTGTTGAAAATGTGCCTGACGGACAGCGTGCGGATTTTCTACTGACCAAACATGAGTGTTGCGAAAGTTATTCACCCCATTACGCGTGAAAGTAGATTCGCCTGTCACCAATATGCACTTTAAAAAGTCCGGATTATTGTCATGTTGATGCAACAACCACTCACAAAACCGCACTCTTGCTGGAAAATCGTCAGGTTGAAGGGCTTGTACATGTTGGACGTGAAACGGATACAGCCCCTCTTCAAGCAGCGCTTGCCACACTTCAGTTTTTGATACTTGCACTTCTCTAGCCACGTCTCTAGTGCTTGTTATTTTTCGAAACGCAATCGATTATACGGGTTCGTTTACCTCTACACGCGTGACCGTAACCGTAGGTTGAAGGTTGCATACTGACCTGACACACTGACCCCGACCCAGTTCTGTCGTCGGGTTGAGGTAGTGTCCTAGTACCACTCGGGGATGTCCCGGGTCGTGGCTACAGGACGGTATTCAGATTTTTTTGATGTTACAGAGCCCTTTATCTCGGTTCCCTTAAGGCATTGGTGTATATGGTACTAAGAAAAATTGCTTATGTTTTCAAGATCTACACGTCGTGTAAAAGAAAACCCCAACTTTGCGGACACCCTGTATAATGAAGGGCAGATTTGGAAGAAGATTCAAAACATAAAAGCCAGATTAAAAGCGAAGACAGACAGAAATCAAACCGGAAACAAACCAATAAAAATGAAAGGATGGGAACAAGAACTGTTCAATTTTCGACAAAGAGATTCAAATCCTAGTATTGCTCGATTGCGATGTTAGTTATATTTTTTTATTTTTCCTTACAGTAGGTATAAGATGTGATTGAGTATAATATATATACATGTCAGGTTGCCCACAAAAAAGCGTTGATTACACTTCAACAGCCTGTGCTGAAGGAGAAACAATCACCGAAGAAGCATCTGGAAGTTCAGGACCAGTACTGAAAGCTACCACAAAGAAAGCCGGACCCAGTAAGGAGCCTTCTAAAGAAAAGGAAAACGAGGATTAGTGGAAACCGATGAAACACGAATTTAACAATGACAGAGCTAGAACGTCTCGTTTTACTTGAACAACTACAAGTGTTTCGGCTAGCCAAGGAACTGCTACTTCACAAGAAAAATATTAATGAATCTGATCCAAATTTATCAACTTTAAATGAAAGTGCATAAACTGGAAATCCAGTTTTCATGAGCCTATTTCTAGGTCAGAACTGACAGAAATACTTCATGTGTCATAAATGTTATTTTTTATTAATTTTAAGAACTTTCTCTTGAGATACCATTTTGAAAGTGTTATTAATTTTGTGAATGAGTAACTAAACATCGTTCTTCAACGTATATCTACATAATTTGTAAATTTGGATCATGCTAGATACTTACTTAGACCCGAAAGCCATGAATAATTCTTGATATTGCATCTCTTCTAAATTGACCTCTCTGACGTATCACCCCATCTGCATAGTCGGCAGCATGTTGATTATGGATTTCTTCTTGCCATCTCCCGGTATATCAACAGGAAAATCTTCATCATTAAGGTGCTTAGCCACATTATGCAAGATAAAACAACTCATGACAAGCGAGGGCACTTTTTCTGTATCGACGCGTATTTGGTATGTAAAATGGGAAAACGCTGTTTTAGTTGCCCGAAACATTTCTCTATTATAACTCGCTCACTCGTAAACAGCCGCTTGTATGATTTTTGTTCCGCTGTTTCTGCAATCCTAAAAGAAGTCATGAGTCAAGGAGCTATACCACACCCAGAGTCTCCCAACAAAACAGCACTAGCCCTATTCCATTTCATAACGTTGTATATATCAGAATTCTTCCATATCCGAGAGTCGTGTACAGATCTTGGCCAAGAAACATCCACACTTGTGAACTCTTCGTTTGAATTGCACGTTGCTTGTACATTTATACTAGCAAAGTTCTTTCTGTTCACATATTCGTCCGCATGAATAAACGGCTTCAGAATAGGTATATGGGTGCAGTCGATAGCACCAATAGCTGAAGGAAAATTGAACTTTTCTTGCCACTTATTTTTAGCATTGTGTAGATCTTCACATGAGGTTGGGAATCTATCCAAATATTCGACTTCTGCACAATACGTGTTATAACGTTGGTAACGGTTCGGGATACCGTAGATTGATGGACACCAATATCTTCTCCTATGCCAATTTGAAATTCTGGATCACCCACATGTCGTAAAAAAACCTCATTCTTTCTGTATTGCTCAAAGCACCGCACCTATATTCTTCTGTCTCTCCAAGAAAATGGTTACTTATCCACTCAACATTAACTTTACTAAACCGATGTAAGGCCCGATAGTCTACTTCTCTTGATTCCCTACGATCTTTAAACACCTTCGTAGGCTGATAAATGACCAACCATCTCAACTCTCTCAACGATTGGACTCGGTATCTGGACATAAAGACTCCTGTTGATATAATCTACTTAGATTTGTCTAGGGCTTTCGATCGCGTACCACATAGAAGGCTTCTGTTTAAGTTGGAATGTATGGGAATAAGAGGCTAGTTGTTACTGTGGATTAAGGCTTTTCTCACCGCGAGGACTTTCTCTGTGCGCGTCAGTGATAGCCAGTCTCACCTTCATCATGTTGCAAGTGGAGTTCCTCAAGGCTCTGTCTTGGGGCCAGTGCTGTTCCTTCTGTATACAAGTGACCTGCCCGCATTGATTTCCTCCACATGTTCAGCTTAAGCCGACGACACCAAGATTTACAATACTGTCGTAAATTCTGCTATGCTTCAACGAGATCTTGATATTGTTTGTCAATGGTCAGTCAGTTGGCTTTTACCCTTAAATCTAACTAAGTATTGTGTCCTTCACCTCGGGAAGACAAATCCGCGATTTACATACAAGATCTCTGACCACAACATCAAAGCAGTTTCCAGCCACACTGATCTGGACGTTGTAGTCAACGATCGTCTTTCCTGGTCAGAGCATATTCACCACGTTACATCAAAAGCCAAGAAACTTATATACATGCTGGAGAGGTCCTTCAAAGGATCCGATGTCAACACTTGCGCCTACATTTACAAGGCATTCGTGAGGCCAATTCTTGAATTCGCTGGCCCGGTATGGGACACTGTGCTTCTGCGCGATAGAAATCTCGTCGAATCAGTACAGCGTCGGGCTACTCGTATCCCTTTTGGAGCACGAAGACCAAGCTATGAAGATCGCCTTGAATTATTCAACCTGACCTCATTCTCTGAGCGAAGACTTCGTGGCGATCTTATAGTTACGTTCAGGATACTTCATGGTTTGATGGGCACCAACCTCATGGATCTATACCGTCTGTCGCGCAGCAATCTACGCGTACACAGCTTCAAACTGCATAAGGAGCCATTTAAAACAACAGTCCGACAGTGGTTTCTTCCCAACCGCATATTAAACACCTGGAATAGTTTACCTGAAAGTGTGGTTGGTGCTACTTCAGTTAATAGCTTCAAAATGCAGTATGATAGCTGGAGGAGTGTACAAACTTTATAGCTATGAACTGTCTTTTTTATTTTTTTCTATTTGATGTATTTGTGTTACGTGTCCGTACACTATATTTACTGCATGAGCTTATAGTACTGTGTACTCTGCTCATCTCAATTATCATAATAATAATAATAATAATAATAAATAGGCATAAATTCGGCCATTTCGTGAAGACATCTACTTAAAACTGAGTCTACTACTAAGATATCTCGCATTTCCTTAAGTATGTACTCAGCGGTCGGAGTGGACGCTCGCTTTTATGCATATAAAAATTAAAGTCGGCGCTAAAGAAGCGAGTACAGCCTCACGAAAAGAGTAGAAACTTATGAGTGTGAGATTCTACTAACACCATTATGCATATCAAATGGAGTGGCTACTTTAAAAATGCGAGTCAAAAGTAGCCACTCGCCTTTATGCATATCACTCATTCTTTTTCTTTTTAAAACCCACACTGCAGTTTTTTGTATTTAAAGAAGGTGTTCAAGATGTCGTCCTCCACTTTCCACACAAGCTTCATTACGACGAACCCAGTTTCTTCTTACTCTAGGTCCTCGAAGTTGTCCATTTATTATTTCAGCCGGATTAGAATTTTTTTGCGAAGTTGTGCTTCTGTTGTTATTGGACCAGCCCCATAAACTATACCTTTAAGTTCTCCCCAATACTAGAAATCCATCGGATTGAGGTCATGAGATCTTGCTGGCCATTTTCGAGGACAAGGAGCATTTCGGCCGATCCAGCAATTCATTCAAATACTGAATGACGCATCTAAAAATGTGTCGAGGCGCCCCGTCATGAAGAAACCAAAAATTCTGTCTGGGTTGTAATGGCATGTTGTCTAAGGTCTGTTCCAAAGGTTCTGGTAGGTTATTGGCTAGAAAGCTAAGGTATCCTTCCCCTGACAACATTGGGGGTAACTCGAAAGGGCCAATTACCTGATCGTCAAGAATACCCGCCCAAATATTTGTTTTAAAACGTTGTTGGAAAAATGACCGTCACGAATGGTATGAGGATTTTCTTGGGCCCACGTATGAGTATTATGGAAATTTCATATCCCGTCTCGCGTAAATGTACATTCATCCGTCGCTAGAATGTTTTTAAAGAAATCCGGATTTTCAATGTTTTTGTGCAAATACCACTGCAAGATTTGAATTCTGACGAGCTTCACCGTAAACTAACAACATGTCGGCGAACTCCTGATTTGAACACATTGTAAATAAACACGATGACGTACGCGAACAAAAACAAAACAACACGCCCGATGCTCTGCGCGACAAAACGATAAAGTAGTTTATCTATGCAAAACGATAACTAACCGCTGTTACCGTTTGCGATCAATTGTCGGTTCGATAAGGGTGATGAAATACCGATGCGCTGTTGTCATGTGTATTTTAAATATTTATTTTAATTGAACTTACTTACTGACTACAAATTTTGGCTTAACTTATAAACTTAAGAACGTTTTTGATTAGATTATAAAAATTAGTAAGATTGTGGTGATTGTGGTCGATATAAAGCACTTAAAGTTGCAAACTATAAAGCCATTTAGACAAAAATCTATTGACTTTTGGACCATGGGTCATGTGAACTTTTTGAATTGTTTTGACCCACCTACTACCCATTTCAATAATATCGTTTACACCCTGTATAAAACAACGCATATCAGGCTGTATCTTTTCATGTATTTGTCATTTAAAGCTTTCAGGTATCTGCAAAACGTTTATTCACCTTTTTTTTTTATATCGAAACAGCCGCGCAGGCAGAAGCCTAAATGCCGGAACACCGCGGCTGCTATGATGATCCCAAAGAAATTTTGTTAATACGATTTTTGAACTGCCTAGAACTGGGAAAAGCTTCCTCCCGTAGTTTGTTCCACAATCTAGATACCCTCGGGATAAAGGAGCGGTCGTATCGGCCAGTTCTGGATGTACGAAGTTTGACACGGTTAGGATGGGACGCCGAAGTCAGGCGGGTCAGTCTGGCAGGCACATCGCGCGGCGGCATCATGGAAGAGAGCTCTGAGGAGTAAAGCCCGTTGGTGTAGCGATAGAAAAGAGCTAGATCGCCGACGGCCCGCCGGTGCGAAAGAGTCCCGAGACTGTCTGTTAGAGAAGAGCCATCGAACAGTCGGATCGCCCTCCTCTGGACAGCATCGAGCATGGACAATGTAGTCGGGGCGGCAGAACCCCAAATGTGTGAGCAATACTCGAGGCTAGGCCTTATCTGGGCCTTGTATAGAGTGAGAAGGTCATGCGGAGAAAAGTACTTCTTAGCCCTAAACAAATAGCCTAGCTTTTTCCCAGCAGCTGCAGCTATTGAAGAGATGTGTTCGTGCCAGATCAGGTCCTCGGTGATCTGGACTCCGACCAACCGAAATGAATGGCTCTTTGGTAGAACTCGACCGTCCATCGAAAATGTATGAGCGCTAAGACGCTTTTTGTTCGTCAAAGTACAGTACTGTGTTTTGGAAGCATTGAACTGTACAAGATTGTTGCGTCCCCAAGCAGTGATAGCCTCCAGGTCTCTTGTCAGAGAAGAAGTCGTCGCTAGTCCTCTTTTTTCCAGCTCAGCGGCAGAGATCGGCTTGTCACTCTGAATTCCTGCATGTAGAGTGCTGTCATCAGCGAAGCTGTGGATTGGGTTGATCGTGCAGGAAAGGAGGTCGTTGATATGTAAG